TAAGTAAATCAGTTATTGTAAAAAAGATAATATCGATAGTGATCCAACTCAACAATTCAAGTAAAGCTCATTATGATAAAGTGAAGACTTTGAAATTGAAAAATCTATAAAGAATGAAATATCGTGGAAAAGTTTCTTTCCTTTTTCTTACTATAGAAAAAACGTAATACTTCTCTAATATTTTATCATTTTATTTATATTGAAGCTTATGAAATTAATTATTAAACGTTCTGTAATAGAAAATAGCGATTCTTCTTCAGGTTTCTTGAACAACCTGTCATCGATGTGACAAAAAGTCACATGGCCCTCTGAAGGAAAATTGACATTTTCAATTACAGGTTCAATTACAGTTCTCTTAGTTCATCATCTCGGAATAATGTTCCGAGATAAAGAATAAATATATATGACAATCGAGAGCACGGACGTTGCAGAGAGGCCTCTACCCCCACCAAGATCCGTCTCACTGACAGTCCTCCCCACCAAGAGCGCGAGTATAAAGACAAACCTCCAAGGGGCAATGAGTCATTATTCTTCCAGCAGTCGACAGAGGTACTCGTAAGAATGAAATCACTCCTATAAGTAAATTGACCACCCAATTCATTAACAGTTTTGGAATTCTAGTGTATAAAACAGGTTATTTAATCTTAAACTGTCAAATAATTAAATTTCCAAACAAAATAAATGATAACAATGCAAATAACTGTCCTGAGTTCTAGAGTTTCACTCAACATCCTATCATTTATGTTCTGCTCTTAGAAATGAATATTACTCCTGTAATTAAATTGACCATTTAATTCATTCTAATTTTTAAAACCCTAATATACAAGTTATATAATCTTAAATTGTCAATTAAATAATTATTTAGAATCGTTTTCTATGTTCCCTTAATTAATGTCTTGATTACGGATATATAGGAAAAGATTCTAAGGCGGAAGACTGATCGGTTGCGTTCTTCAAGTGCAGAGAAGTCGATCATAAGTTTGCAAACTGTAAATGAAGCCAAAACTGTTTCCCATGTAAGGAGAAGTACAGCGATGAGGTAAATAATAACCATATTAACACATGTTTCACACATGAATTGCGATCTCCACCTTTGTCATCATTTTAGAAATAAAAATATGCACCGTTGTTAATAATTTATCTTAACTCAAGTACTTCTTAATATTTGTAAAAAAACTTACAAACACTTCAGATAAATGTTAAAGTGTCCCAAAACTCCAGATGGTTAAATTATTCTCTTCCTTTTCCAAATCCTTTAAAGAACGATATTTTTAAGTTTTCTAACGTGGGGTCTTCCTTTAATTAAAAAATTGTTATGGCTTTATAGCAGAATTCATGACAGTAAGAATTAGTAATTTAGAATAAAAGCTTTATTGTTTAGACAATCCTTTTTTTTCGAATCCATTTTCTTTTTCAATTTCGACGAATTCGCATCATATTTTATCATATAAATCTTCTCTCGTCACGGTGCGCACATATTGGTTTTTATTTTATTCTATTACGCCCTTCGTAAAGCTCTTTTCTGCTTTCCATTCTGTTGCCACGTCGTATTCATTATTCGTGCCGCTGAAGGTGGTAGAGAAATAAGCAAAGGGTGAAAAAGGGTGGCAGAGGGAGAGAGGATAGAATAGAACAGAATATCCAATAGCACGGAATCTGCCTTTCGTAATTAATATTCTGCATCTGGCCTCGTTAAGATTTATTTTCAACGTGATCGCACGGGGCACGTGATGCTTTAGAATATTTATTTCTCTTCTCTCGTTATAATCTCACATTTCAATATGCAAGAACTCATTAATGTTTTACATCCCTGCGATTCCAGATAAGTTCATCTTACATTCTTCTCTTCCGAGAAGAGAATTTTGAAATTCCTTAAAAGTTTTTCATGAACTAGAGAGATAGTTTATAATTTACCATCATCGAAGAAACTTCATAAAATGCAAATAATATAGCACAAAAGCGAAATGTTACAATACATTTTAAAAATAATCATAATAATATTAAATGTAATTAGTAGCATTGCATAACAATTTGATTTTAAATTCAGAATGCGAAAAGTTAATTTATAACAAGAGAAAGATAATTAAAATTTATAATAATTAATATTCTACAATTAATACGAATCTAAAATTAGTTTCCATTTGTTATATACTTTTTAATATATCACCCAACTATGACATGCTAATTCAGTTCTACATTTAAGTAAAAAATAATATTTAATGTAACGAAAATGCTTTCTATTATTTTCTATTTTTCACACATCTACACAGATTCGTCAGATAGTTGAAATGAAAAATATAATTGTCACCAATTATTTATGGTGTCAGCATATTTCGTGCATGTGAAAAAGTGAAATAATTTTTATTTGATTTTATTCTTTTTGTTTTTAGAGAAAGAACAGGCATTTTAAATTCCAGAGCAACTGCAGAATGTTAGGTGTGATGATCGAAGCGGAAACTGGAAAATAAAATATGATCCGATATGTCACTGTAAACACAAGCACCCTCCACGACGGAATTCCCTTGACATCCCCATTAGTTTTGTACTTTTGCAATGTCGTCTTTCTTTCGTGTTCGAAATAGGATATGTTAAGAGCAAAATCATAAAAGAATAAAAAGCAAATGTCAAAAAAGGTATTTAATTATGCAACAGTATATTAAAAATTAATTGTATCAAATGCTTTAGACGAAAGTCGTTAATAAATTGTAAGTTAAAAAGTACAGGAACAATTTTAGTTATAAAGACTTTGAAAAATAAAAATAATTATATCTTTCAATTGCGTCACTTTGTTAGAAATATGTGTAAAGAACGAAGAAAACTTTAAATTTGTCGAGTCTTTTCACTTTTTTTGGTCCTTCAATATGACAAAATAGTCTGCAAACTACTTGTCGAACTACAACGAACATTTGTATGCAGGACTCGAAAGCGGATATGTGGATTCGATGGTGTTTGAGGTACTTTCGCCAAAACCCCCTCATTTTATTCACCTCTTGCCTCTTACCCTTCAAATTTTCTCATTGCCTCGGGTAAACCGCCGCTAGTACTTCTCCAGAATAAAACTTCTTTACGCACGAATGAAAGTTTAGTTGTACTCCGATGGAGCGAGTGTACCTGCCCGTAAGTTGTATTGTACAAAATATATATACGAGAAACTCTTAAAATCATGAAATCAACATTAATCCTCTAATGTTTAGTATTATTTTATGAACAATGTTTTGATACGTATTTTACGTGCAGGATCTAAAGTGAAACTCTAAAAATTAGGGCCAAACCTTAGCATGATTATCAATTTTATCTGAATAATTATTTGACAGTTTAAGATTACATAACTTGTATATTTGGGGTTGAAAAATATTAATGAATTAAATGATCCATGTAATTATAGGAGTAGTATTCATTTCTAACTGTAGACCATAAATGATTCCTATCATTTATGGTCTACAGTGGAGTATTTAGTGAAACTAGAATTCAGGATAATTGTTTGCATTGTTATCGTTTGCTGTGTTCGAGTATTTAATTATTTGATAGTTTAAGATTAAATAACTTGTTTTACACACTAGAATTCCAAAACAGTTTATGAATTGGGTGGTAAAATTTACTCGCAGGGATGATTTCATTCTTACGAGTACCTCTGTCGACTGCTAGAAGAATAATGACTCATTGCCGCTCGAAGGTCTGTTTTTATACTCGCGCTCTTGGTGGGGAGGGTTTTGGTGGGGGTAGGGGCCTCTCTGCAACGTCCGTGCTCTCGATAGTCATATACTTGTTCTTTTTTTAAGAACAGTATTCCGAAATGAACTAATTTCAAAAATTTACTTCAACGATACATTAATTCTTTTTAATTACAATTTCTAACAAAGTAAAAAGTCCCAACTCTATACGTAATATTAAAATACAAGTAGCCTAACAAACTAAAATAATGTTTGGTAATTTCTCGCTCTTCTTTTCGACAGCACTGAGTCAGTAAATATTTTGGTTAATGTATGTCGGTTGTAGGAAAATTTTAGTGCGGTTAAAAGAAACTTTTAACCCACAAAAAGATCATCAGCGTTGGACGAATGGCTGCGGCGATTAGGTCTCTTTTTTTCACTCTCGCCTCATCTTGTGCAGAAATATTTCTTGTCCCAACAAAAAGATGGTAAATGAAGCAGAGAAAAATGCTTAATGGTTTACGGAAATAAATCATTTTTTGAGCATGTTTTCTCATCATGACTTTGTTCACGTTGGTAAAGTATAATGCGAGAAAAGTTGCGAGTCCATTTTTCTACTTAGGAATAAAAATTTAAATAAACATACCTGTACTATAATGTTCCTTCCTCTATCAAGTTTTTTTAAAAACAGTTGTAAAGAGTTTGAAAAAACTAATGTCCTACCGCAATTTAAATTGTAAAGATAAAAAATATTTCAATGTCTTTTCTTTGTAACTTGCGGCTAGAAAATTGTCTATTGAAAGTCAGAAAAGTTTTTCATTTTAGCAATTTTAAAATGTTCCCCAGTGAGAGAGGTGGAGATTATTACAAAACGCGTTACATTTTCCGAAACTGGTGTAAGGACTCTTTGAAGTTCCGTGACAGTGAGCGTCAACGAGTTTTCTCTGAGACTCATTCTTTTTCTTTAAAGTTCTCATCTTCCACTGTCTGTGTGTGTGTGTTCGTTTCTTTCAACTACAAACCTTTACAACGATCTTTTGTGTGAGGCAAAAAAAGTAAAAAAATGAATTCTCTCTTGGTCCACGTGATGCTTCCTTATTCCCGACAGTTTTTCGTTCTACTTTCAAAAATTTTTCCTATAGAGTGACGCAAAATTTATGTGATTCATGATAGTCCTCTGCATAACCAAGAAAACTTTGATAATACATGATGAATGAGAAAAGAATTTTAACTTTTTATTTTAAAATAGAGATTATAAAGTATGCTTCTGAATTATTGAAACAATATGTAATTTTCAAGGAATGGAAAAATTTAATGGTGAAATATTAAATTAAAAAAAATTAGTCTTACCCCTATCGCAATGTAACGTGAATGGTTGACATTGTGCGTCAAATTTTCCCACTTCTGTCTGTAACAAAAAAAAAATATTTTGTATTATTTAAAAATTTGTCGATAGGATACAATTTTTTATTTTAATTAATTGAAGATTGTGTGAAGAGTCTGAAAAACATTCTTCATTAAAGTATTTACGATCTAAAGGTTATTTATAATTAAAAAAGAAATCTCCAAAGACATAAGAAGCTCATAAAATTTCTTGCGAGGTGCTATCGTAAAAATCTCGAGTAGTTGGAGCCGAAAGAAGTAAAAGAAGTCGTTTCTGCGGAACGGAAGTAGAAAATTCGCGCAACGCCACACTTTCGAAAAAGCGTCAAGCACAATGTCCTTTAACTTGAGGATTATTAGAACGAGATCGTTATGGAGGCTGTTTGAAGCATAAGGGCGGTACTGCTTTCTCCGTTTTACTGCATATTGTGGCAATTTCATATTTCACGCTTTGTTATAAAGGACTAAAGGAACTCGGCTAAGCGACAAAACTCAATTTTCCATTTTACTATTGGCTTTTAGGCACTAAAAAAATTCCATGTTAAAAAAAAGTCAAAGAAAACGAGATAGTGAGGGTAATGTCAGAAAGCTTTGAAAATGGCTTGTTACGATATTCAGTATCATTTTTTTTATTCAAAACTGTACTGCAAGTTAGCTAGGTGTACCGTGCCTGATAACGAATTAAAGTGGAACTGTCCAATTGTCTGGTTAGACTGGGACGAGATCTGTCTGCTTTAAATGGAAATCAGCTCGTTCACCATCAGCGAATTCTGTTACTTCAAAAGTTTCTATCCTATTGAAAAGTCCACGACTGAAGCCAAAACCAATAGATTTGAATGGAAAATATTAGTTTGCAGGAAATTTTACTTTATAATTCGTGTAAATTTATCCGATGATTGCCGACTAATATTAGTATTATTGTTTTTTTGTTATTAACACTTTCATTTTAATTAGTGCTTGTAAAAATTATTTGTGAATTCAGGAATAAGAGGAACAAGAGTATTTAAATGTTTTTCTCTTATTTTGGCAATTAAAATGAGCTTGGTTTCAAGTGGCAATAATGACAATACAATTCAAAAAGTGTTGCATATTTACGTATTAGAATGGAAGCGGCAACAGAATATGGTTAAAAGGAATACGACATTTACATTAATGCAGGGCGGACAACTGAAACAACTCGTCCCTGAAAGTTGCATCAGACTGGGATTACTATGGTTTAATTGGTGCAATCTGGAGGGTCCCGCTTCGCATAACCACCTTGCAATTTTATGCAATCTATTTAGACTAATTACTATCTGCATTTTCCCATTCCGAAAGAATAAAAACTATCTATATTAATATGTCTAAGAATTCTCATTTGTGTCTCTTGCAATTTCTAATATTAATTAATGTGTAAATGTAAAAATTAATTAGTATACTCGTGAATTATTAATTAAACCGTGAAAGGTTTCAACATAAAATAAATTATATAATTATATTGTAGATAGTAATTGTCCACTAAAAACATTTTTAATTTTCGTTCCCGCGTAAAAAAATGTTGCCTACCTCAAGGTTACCTCAAAGCTCCCTTAAGGCTACCTCAAGGCTACCTCAAAGCTAGCTTAAGGCTCAAGGCTCGCTTAAGTTTCAGGACTTGATTGAAGCTAAAAACTTGTTGAAGACTTAAGACTGAGCTCCCTTAAGGCTACCTCAAGAATATCTCAAGGCTACCTCAAGGCTTGCTTAAGGCTCAAGGCTCGCTTAAGTCTCAGGACTTGATTGAAGCTAAAAACTTGTCAAAGAGTTAAGATTGAACTTAGACACAAGGCTCAAACAAGTCTTGAGCCTTAAGTGAGCCTTGAGCCTTAAATGAGCCTTAAGTGAGTCTTAAAAGCCTTAGTTCAGTCTTAAGTATTAGACTAGTTTTTTGCCTTAAACAAGTCTTGAGCCTTAAGTGAGCCTTAAGCCTTAAGCGAGCATTATGTCTAAGTTCAGTCTTAAGTTTAGAGGAGTTTTTTTAGCTTCAAACAAGTCTTGAGCTTTAAGTGAGCCTTAAGCCTTAAGCCTTAAGCGAGTCTTATAAGTCTTAGTTCAGTCTTAAGTCTTAGACAAGTTTTTGGTTTTAAACAAGCCTTGAGCCTCAAGCGAGCCCAATATCTAAGTTCAGTCTTAAGTTTAAGACAAGTTTTTAGCTTCAACCAAGTTCTGAGACTTAAGTGAGCCTTGAGCCTTAAGCTAGCCTTGAGGTAGCCAACATTTTTTTACCCGGGTTCATAATCTAATTCATTCGGAATTGGAGGTAAATCTAACCAAATGTATCCCTTCTCCTTTTAATTTGTCAGTCCACATCCCTGAGGTAAATTGTGCACCATGATCTCAAATGATTTCGCCAGGTTATCAAAATATTTATTGTTTTTAAATTTTAATTATATTTATAGATTGCAAAGTATGAAAATACGAAATAATAATCAATATTACAATAAGAAAAAGTCACTAAACTGTTGTTTAATAATTTCCGAATAATGAAAACTCGTTCAATATATAATTTATGAATTTGCGGTAAAATGGAAAACTGATGTTCCGGTAGAAAATTATGAAATTGTGATTGGTTGCAATATCCTGTAGGGGTAAGGGGTGACCTTAATTGAAAACAGATTTCCAAATGGTCGTTTAGGAACTTTCCTGGAGCATCCTTTCCGATTTCATCGACAATGCTGGTCTTGTCTCAGTCGTTAGTATTCCATTCGCCGAAGCGGAATACTGAACTTCTCGATAGCCTCTTGTTGATAACAGCTCTAACTGGTAAACAACGGAAGACCTTAAAGACGTCCTAACTTTAAACTTTGCCTTCTACCCTCGTTAAGTATTCTGTTTGGCATTATTACCTGACTGCTATGCCAAAACGACCCAACGCAACAAAAAAAAATGTTCAACTATCTTAGCTTTCAGGATACTTAACAACTCCTTACAAATGCTTCTAAAATCAAACTTCTATTTTGTTCAGTTAATGAAAATTTAAGTTTGTACAAGGGTCGTAAATTAATTAATGTTATTTAATTAAAAAATTGACTTATTAAAAATATTACTGTATTATATAATTAAATACGCATATAGTTCAAGACTTGTGATAATTATTCTTCTGATGATTTAAAAAAGTTTTATACAAATTTGATTTATAATCTCATTAATTTGATTTCATCTGATTTAAAATTATTTAAAAGAGCTTTAAAAGAGCTTTAAAAAATAGAAAATATTTCTTTTCAGGTATAAAAAACAACATTAATATATTTAGAAATATGATAAAACGTAATGATAGAAAATTGGTTTTATCGTTCAACTAATCTGCCTTTTTCCTTTGATAGCAAAAGCAGTTTTTGAATAATCCTATTTCTCTTCTTTTTTCAATGAATACAGAAAATCCTCTCCCCAGTGGCTTGTTCCCTTTGATGTGATTTCCATATAATAGTTTTCCACGACCCCTAATGAACTGCTTTCACAAAGCTAAGATTAACTTTAAAAGAATAATTTAAATTCATATAATAGTTTTTCATCCACAAATAAATATTATTTTTATTTAATTTGACATTAATGAACACTGGAAGACCCTAAAACGAACTACAAACTACAAAGGTGGTCAGAAAATTAAAAAGAGCTCAACAAAAGGAATCGGACGACATTCTTTACATTCTAGGAGAAGAGTATTGTGGCTCAGGAATTGCTGATTAATTAGTAAGTTGACAAAATTTCTAGTTATAATACACTAAAGTACATTTTTTTTCTTCTTTTGCGCTTTTCTCGAAACCACATTTTTCGAGGCGATGTACATGATAACTCAAAAACTATTCAACCGATTGACTTGAAAATTAAAATACATCTTCCTAAATAGATTTTTCACAGAGTGACGTGGGATTTTTTCGATTGAATAATTTGAAAAATTATTCACACCATCAAGGAGTGCTCCGGAAAAACTGATCCAGGCCAAAAACCATCCGATTTTCATGCGTTCAGGATGGCGTAACCCCTTAAACCAAAATCATTTACTGATTCCTTACATACTATAGGAATCCCTTCTAGTGAAAGTGGAGGAAAAGTTAATAGAAGACCCGCCAAATCATCATAGCCTGAGTGTTATTGAAGTTAAGAGCAAGTCCATTATCGCCTTTCCATTGCTAAACCTAATCTTTATCAGATTATATCATTACAAACAAATCTGGTAATGATGATAATGGACACGATACATAGAACTTAAAATCATCAGCATATTTATGATACTTAGGGTACTTTAGGCTTAAATTTCTTTAGGAATAGACAAGCTTTGATATAAACAATTCATACTTCCTTATAATCCTTCACATTAGAAAGAAATAAAAGTACGAAACTTATCTATGTCATCTTGGCTTAATGGCCCTCATGAATATATCATGTTTGATTCAAAATTCTAAGAGTGGATTTTGTTTTCGATAACGTTTCCCCTTGAGAATTGGGATGAGAATATTCCTTCGGTTTATAACCAAAGAATTGAAATCCCTTGGAGTATAGGATTTCCTCGGTAGGAATTCATCCGTTTCTTTAATATCCACGCCTTCGTACACGACCCTAGCTTCTTTTTTTCCTAATCCTCCTTTTTACTTGAAGCAGCGCCATTTCTTTCCGTAAGTGCAGACCCGTGTTTACATTCACTGTATCTATCTCGATACGGCTTCACGTTCTCCAGCTATCTCTTATACTAACATTATATTTCCCAAGATTTATGCTTTAAAATTCTCTCACTTGTTCGAAAAAAGAGATGTTCGATCCAACTGTATGCGAGAAAATCTTTCCTTAAAGAAATTTTATAAGCGACTATTATGAAGTTTCTAGGAGAGATATTTAATTCTCCGCTATAAAGTTTACTTTGAAAGCCTTTCAAAATGTGGACAACTTAAGCACGTAGGATAAAATTGTTCATATCAAAAAAAAAAATTACATGAAAGAAATTTTTATTTTGTGATAAAGTAATTTCACCATTAGAGAATTAATTATATTGCGTTTGATAAGTATAGTTAA